CTCGCGCGCGCGCAGGGAGCAAGGAGTAAGCCAAGAACTCCAAGCCCACGGACAATCATGGAACACGTGTAGCAGCCATACTGCGAACAAAACACCTTCCCACCGTCCAGACTTTTACCAAGGGATTCTCTCATACGATAACTTCCCTTTAGACTCGCTCCTATTTCACATTGTATCACATTGTACGTATTGCAACCATGCTTAAAAGCTTCTATGAGTGCACATACACCGTCAGATTTGTAATATAGCTATCATCACCTGTGCACTAACAATACTTTCATTTGATCCAGGGTATAAGATCCGGACGGTTAAGGATCTCACAGGACGATTGCGACTATTAGATTATACGCAGTAGTCAATAGGAGCAGACAGACGTGGGGCGGAAGATGATATATTGAAGACTGACAGGAACTGGTTCTACAGAAAAACGGATTGGTAAGCATCATGAACTAAGCGAACGTGCAATCAACAATGACGCAATCAGCAGGAGCGGGAAGTAGTCACTGGCGCAGCACGGATTTCTATAGTGGCAACAGCAAGTAAGTACCAAACGGTGCACAGACGTACATATATGGGCAGTCTGACAGTGTGAATTGGCCGTAATGGCGCAGGAGCCAGCACGTTCGGGATGTGAGGGACTGTCTTTCGGTCGGCGTCGACGCAGCCGCTCGTGTCGCGCGACAGGTCAGATTACGCGGTTTCGTCCGTTTAAAACAAAGCTCAGCAAAAGCTATCCGGCAGGCGTGATGCATGGCTAATACAAAATAATCAGCCGCTCCGTGCGTCAGGTCGAATGTAGTTGGCAGCGCGTTCGCTTGCCGTCTGGAGGATCCGGGTTCGATACCCGGGTTCAAACCCAACAATATGGAGTTGTCGCTCTGGGAACGGCTTAGCTTTCAAGAAGTCAATTCTGTTGTGCGGATATTGCGCGTCCAAGTCATCTAATTCCAAAATAGCCGTCGTCCACTCTTTCACAATCATTCTGGCCTCTTGTACATCATAAAGGATTCTGCCTTTTGAGTTTCTAAAGGCTAGAGGCATGAAAGCCTTATTTCTGTCTGGAAATTTCTTCAGAGCTCAGCCAAAGGACTCCCCCTCGAAATGAAAACAGCCTGTGAAAGAACCTCATCATAAATCTGTTTCCTGAATAACTGCTTTTGAATACAGAAGAGAGCATTACACTTTTGTTTTTGGGAAATCTAGAATATTTTGGCCTGGTGACGGAGTACAAACGTCATGTGTCCTTGATTCGAAGATCCGTTTATGATTGTCAGTCCATTTTTGTACCATCACGCCAGAATATGACAGCGGGCACTCCGTTGTTGCAGCCCTTCTGGATATAAAACAGGCCTACAAACAAGTTTACCACGCCGGCCAACAAGAGAAATTAGTCTTAAGCCATTAATAGATACCTAGACTGATGGTTAAGGAGCCCAGTTATGAATCATAGGCATTCTGTCCTCTGCGCTGCCGAACATCATTTGAGTTTTTCAGTAAAGCAGTCTACTTCCCATTCTGTTCATTTCCCGTGAGAATAACGCTCTTCCCTGTTGTCTGCC